GTCATGAAAAACTGAGTATGTTTGATAAGAAAATCCATGGAAATATGTAATACTCGTTCAAATAAGTGGTAAATCTCATGGTAGTGTACACAGTACATAAATGATTTCAAGATAAGAGATTGATAACTCGTATATGTATGTTTGATATGAACTTGAAATACTACAAAGGTAGTAACTTTTTATGACATAAGCTTTATAACATATTTTATCATAAAATCATAATACTTTGTATGCAGAAATCATTTATCTCGACTAGTTGTATTATTTAAAAACAGTTTTAACATATTTACATCAAACATATTTATCACTAGTTTATTTGTATATGAAGTATTATTTAATAAAATAATATTTATAAACTAGTTTTGAAATCGGTAAGTGTTTGTCAAGATCAATATATATATATATATATATATATATATATATATATATATATATATATATATATATAGCACATATATTCTCCCCCAAAGCGTAAAAAAATATTAAAAGGGGCCGTAAACACTCACCCTTGAAGCGTGAACGAGGCTCGGGAGTGAATTTGTCGTGAAAGTCATTTCGTGACGTCACGTGCCCTTAAAACGAATCATCGGTTCTATTTATATTACCTAATAAACCAAAAGGGTGGTTTTGGTATTATTATTAAGCATAGGGTGGTCTTTGTTAAAATAAATAAACTCTGGGGATTCATTTTTTTGCCAAAATCATACTCCAGGGACTGATCTTGTAACTATTCTAAAAATAGGGGCTGAAAATGCACATTTTAAAGCTGATTTGGAGTTCCTGGACTAGAATTGTTAAGGTTTTCGGTGGAGGGGCCAATTCTAGATAATTTAAATGGGGGTTTGGTTCATATGATAACTATTTCTAACGGAGGGGACAAATTGAACAAGTCAGATATCTTTAGGGTTATATTTAATTAAATGCTAATGAAGTTTGAATCGTTTACGCTCCAGCTATGAAATCGTGAATTTTCCAATTGCAGTTTATGGGAACGATTGAAGGGTAGTCGAGACCCACGATTGGGTCTCCGGTCGCGTTTGGTTACGATGACGGAAGAGAAAAAACATAGGGGGGCGAGGTTACCTGCGGTGGAGAAGCAACAGCGGCGGCGGTGATCTACCGTGGTGGTCGAAGTCCGTCCCAGCGGCTCCGGTTACCCTGTATCTGGTCGGAATCAGCGGAGAAAGTGAATATGTGAGGAGAGGTGCCCGGTGGTGGCTGAAATCGGTGGCTGTGGTGGTCTTCTCGCCGGAAAACCTCCACCTTCAGTGGTGGTGTTCTTAATTCAGAAAAAAAACGAAGAAGGAGGAGGGGAGAGTGATTAGAAATCAGGGGATGGTGGATGGTGGTGGGTCACGACAGGAGGGGTGGCAGGAGGTCGAGATGGTCGACTGTTGGGTGGTGATTCATGGTGGTTCAGTGGTGATTCGGTGGTGGAGTAATGGTGTCAATGGTGAGATTTTGGTGAAACTTCAAACCACAAATCCTCTCCTTATAGCTTCAGATTCGAGATTTCAGTGAAAGGGATGGAAAATTACTGATCAATTGGTCAAAGGGTTAACATTTGAGGGGTTAAGACAACTTGATTTCCTAAGATTCGATTGCACAGGCATCTAAATTGAGAAAGGGAATCAGAGAGGTTCAGCGTGATACAGGAAGAAGAAGACACGATTTCTTGATTTTGGCACAAATGGTCCCTGCTATTTGGCACACTAACTAACTCCACCCTAATTTCATATATTGTGACTAAATTAGTTTCAGGAAATTGCAAATCTGCCCCTAGACTAATATGCATTCATTTAAAATGAGTAGATTTACTTAAATGAAAATCCCACTATTACTTTAATTTTGTTTTCATTTATTTATTTATATTTGTTTTTTTTATCAATTAAAGGAGTACTTGACGAACAATAGTTTTAAGTTCAACAGTTTCAAAGGGAATCCAAACAGATTAATTTTTCGATTTGTAGAACTCTGGGAATCCGTGTTTGAAGTTTCACGTCTAATTGGTCCGGAACGTCTGATTTTTTTGAATTTTACAAATATTTTTACTATAATATGTATTAAAATTCGATCAGTAGAGATACGAAAAGGTTCGCGGTGACCTGACTGTTTACAAATTTAGCCCTAAGTTTCGGGATGTCGCAAAATCAGAGAACCCCTGGGGCAGTCCGTACTCATGTGTCCCGACTGACCACAAGTGAAACATCCTGAACCCGTCGCACGACATGCCCCACTGTGCGACTTGCCACACTTGCCGCAATGACCACTGCCTTGCTGGCATCTGGTACGTGAATCGGAGGTCTTGGGCCTCTTAGCCTGGCCCACCATTGTTTGTATCTGCTCCGGCTTGCGCTTTGTTCGAAGCTCCATCCCAATCTCCGACTCACGGGCCTTCTCAATCATATCATTTAGGGTCTTGCACTCCGAAAAACTCACAAACTCCCTGATATCCTATCTCAAAATGTCATGGTATCTCATCTTCCTCATATCCTCATCCACAACGTACTACAGAACCAACAAAGCCCTCTCCCTAAATTTGGTGGTAATATTTTCCACAGTCTCAATAGTATGGTGGAGGTCCTAGAATTCCCTCGCCAGTTGTTGCACCTCAATAGTTGGTGCAAACTCCCTCTGAAAACCTCGAAACAAAATCCTCCCATATCATGATTGCCACTATCGCTGACCCTACAGATCGACTAACTTCCTCCCATCAGTCTCGTGCTCGGTCCCTCAGCAGGCAGGATGCAATCCCACATTTGCCCCTTCAAGGAAAAACACATCCACTGAGCATTCACCATGTCAGCGATCCAACGTCAGCTAGCTATAGGGTCCTTAGCCGCAAAGAACTCAGGAGCTCCAAAGGACTTGAACTCTCGGAATGAGGGAGTTCATGCTCCTAAGTCCTATCTGACCTGCAACAATCTCGGTTCGAAAAGACATGAGCCTCTCATCCATCATCTCTATAATCCTCTCCTTGATGGTACCGAACATCACAGGAGTAGCATCCAAGATACCACGATTAATCTTAACCGCAATGAACTCGCGCAGCCTCTCATCAATCGATTATGTGCCTGAGCCATAACCTGAACCAGAACCAGAGCTAAAACATCCTAGAGTAGTCATCACCATCCTCAAACTGAAACACAACATATAAATAATCATCATATGACCCGAGGGAATTCTCACTACATAGGCCTCTTTAGAGTTTCTAGATCTGTTCTTGTCTCGGGTACAGATGTTGTGCTTCCAGTAGTACAAGCCCAATACTACCTTCCACTCCTATTTTTACCCTCCTCAAGAATCATCATGATTCCTATAAGTCACCTAACTACACATCATTCCTATGCTAAACAACATACATATCCTAGAATTTCCTAGGAATCCTCAACTCCCACCACTCGCAGTATCGAGAATCTCAATCAACACCATTGGTTGCCTTATACATGCAATTCACATATCAAGCATATTGATCATAATACATAAGTATGGGTAATTTGGAAACCACTTACTTGAGCTCGGCTGATTTCACATATTGCACCCCTTTTTACTTAGTAAAATCTTTTTAGAAATTCAATTTCTTTTTGAAAAGATTATTATTTCCTTGGTTTAAGTTCTGACACACCCGAAAGTGCGCCCGAATCCCTCAAACCAAGGCTCTGATACCAACTTGTAACAACCTAGAAACAGTGATAACAATTTTCATTCAAAGAATATCAATTTCATTCAATAATTGTTCAAAAAACCATCATCAAATATAACATTCAAAACATAAGAGTACAATTATTCAAAATGCGGAAATCATGAGGGGAGGATGTTGTGCCATCACGCCAGACCATTCCCTTTTGAACTGAAAGTACCTGAAACCATGAACATAAATTGTAAGCACAAAGCTTAGTGAGTTCCCCAAAGTACTACATACCAAAACATACAAGTGTCATGGGCTACCCGCATGGTCTTTCCTTGCAATGCCTAGGGCCAAATCCCGGTCTTACATATAAGTACCATGGGCTACCCCCATGGTCTTTCCTTGCAATGCCGAGGGCCAAATCTCAGTCTTACATACAAGTGTCATGGGTTACCCCTCCCCCCCCCCCTCGGCGGACGCATGGTCTTAACATGGAGAAATATTTACAAAATCCTAGATCTGTCCATAATATGAAATAAAAGTGTGAACCTTTAGCACTTACAAAGGCCCAACAACAAGAAGAGGTGCTGATAATGATGCTACTTTGCAAACTCCACTACTAGTACACTTCTTTTCCTCTTATCCTCTTCTTTTTCTAACTAGGAAATGCACCAAAACAGACTAAGGCTTCAAGAATGATTGATATCAGGGTTTATGGAGGCTTAGAGTGTGAGGGAGGCTGAGGGTGAACAACCCTAGCCCTCACATTCCATTAAATACCAAAAATTTAGGGTTTTGGTCATCAGGCTGCTCTCACGTAGTGACCACCAAGGGCTCACGTTATGAGACTCAAAGAATGCGGGTCAACAAATCAACTTTGGCTCACGACGTGAGAGGCATTGCTCACGTCGTGACAACATCCAAAAGCTTAAAGAAAACCTTGAAATTATGTACCTCAAAACTAGATGTTACAGTATTGTATGAAATGACTCCATAGTCTCCAAAGAAACTAAGTCTAATATAATTTAATAATTTTATAAGGTTATAATAATACAGTTAAGCATAATATTTTTTATATATATATATATATATATATATATATATATATATATATATATATATATATATATAGTTAGACGGGTTTGACCAGTTTAAGTGAAACAATTTAAAAATCTTAACCAAACCCGTTAATTTTGGGTTGGGTTGGATCGCTATTTGCCATCTCTATTTGTTGTGGACCAACTTGTAAATTCTGCAAACCGTAAGGACCTAGATGAGAATAATCCAAAGTCTTATAGAGTACACTTTACTCAACGAGTGTCGGTCATGCTACGGTTCAAACGACATCGTGTTATATAGAAACAGAAAAAAACAAGAAAATAAGAACACATCCGAATCGAGAAAATCAATCTAAAAGTTTCAATTCAATTAAACTCATTAGATTCATAAAACCCAAATCCGCCATTGCAGATCTCTATTCCTACCTACCCAGAAAACCCACAAACCACAATTTCCCATTAAAGCATTGATTCTTGAGAACATCTAGTGTTGCTTCCAAATCGCACTTCACTGCAACTTCTATGTTCGCAGTTTCTCAATGTAATGAGACAAAGATTAGGTTTTTAGTCTGAGCAGCAATACCCATCAACTTGATTTACCTCCATGCCCGGTAACTTCTTTGGATTACATTATCTTCGACTGTATGCATGGATTTAAGAGCAACAGTGGTGAATTTGCCTTTTGTTTTTGGCTTTAATCTGAAATTTATGTAATTAGGGGCGAAAATGGCGATTAAGAGGGGGAATTCGAATATGGGTATCCGCAGGAACAATGGCGGAGGTGGATCTTGGATGTCAATTGTGGTTCTTGTATTGTTTTTAGTTCTTGCTCCTGTGGGGTTCTTCGTTGGGCGTAGGGTTTATTCTGCTGCTTCAATTGGTTAGTAATTTTATCCATTTCGCTAGTTTCTATTTTGCAAAATGCCAGTTTCTTTGAAAGGTGTTCTTTAGGTTTAGGGTTTATGTGAATTTAGTCTTGTTTGGTTGATACTTATTAAATGAGTTAGTTTCCAGGGGTGTTTAATGTGGATTTAAACTGGTTATTGTGAATCGAAGCCTTAATCGTTTCATTTGGTTAGAAAATTAAAATAATTTGCTAGTCTGTGTTGCAAATTTGACCTTAGAAATGCTTCTTTTGTTTTAAGGTTTTAGTGAATTTAGCATTTTTTTAGTCGACTTTGAACAAATTCCTAATACTTCTATAATTCATTTTTTTATTATTCTTATGCAGATCAAGATATTAGCAAACAGGTACACTTCTTTGTCATTTACAATATTATAAAATGCAAGAATTAGCCATGCACTTTCATTTATCTGTTCACTGTAGCATCCTACTTTCATTTCATCCTATTACAACATTATACTTTGAAAGATCTATAAAGGGTAGATTTTTCAAAGCACGCTCTCTAAATATGAAAAAGAGTACAATGCCTTAATGAGAAAAGAATTTAAAAGTACAATGTTGTAATAAAACACATAAATGAAAGTACATTGCTAGTTCTTGCATTCAGCTCTTTACACTTATGCAAGTCTAAAATCATTGTGCAGAATGTAGATTGGAGAGCAAGACTGGCTTTAACGCATGTCCAATCTCTTTTTTCAAAAAAGGTATGCTACTAAAAAGTTTATAAAACGTTTATCCATCAAATTTTCTTGATTTTTTATTTCTTATATATTTAGGTTATTGAAGTCATCAAGGCAAACACTGATGATTTAGGACCTTTGAGCTTTGATTCTTTTCGAAAGAACAACTTGTCAGCTTCTTGGAAATTTTCTGGACAAGAAGACGTGGGTCCTACTGAGGTTAGTATAGAAATTTTTCTGTGACTTTATTATTTATCGATGTTTTGATTGTGGAAATAAACAAAAAAAAAAGTTTAATGATGCATTGTGTTTATCAGATTGTGGAAACAAATAAAAAACGAACCCCAACAGGGAAAGAGGAAAAACTTTTTGATGGTAACAATGTTTCTTTTATGATTTTTATTAAGATGTTGCTAATGTGTGAATCTTAATTATGTTTGATTTTGTGTTTAATACAGATAGTCATCCTCAATCTGTTGATACGCCTGCAAAGCTAGCAAGAAGGGTAATATTGTAATTTGAATTTCCTATGAACATACATACACACATATATGCTCTTTTTTTTCTTGAGGATCAAAAGGGCTTGTTTCTTTTTTCCAATTAAGTGCTGTCAGGATAAATGATGTTTAAAAAATATTTGAGAAAATGATGTCACAATTGGGGAAATGGAAGGAAAAAAATGAAAAAGGCAAATTTGTAAAAAAAAATGTCAAAAGACTAGTTGGGAAAAGCATCATTTCCCTCAATTTCTTTATTAAGTCGAATTTTCTGCATCAAGTAAAAAAAACACCCATATATAACTTACTAGATTGAGATGTTTTTTTTTTTCTTTTTCACTTAATGGGGACATATATATAGGAGTGTTTCTTTTTGGCTTAATACATACAAAAAGTCTTAATAGGTTAAATTGCAAGGAAGGTGACTTTATCCATTCAATGGATTTCAAGGAAAATTGTATCTTTATCTGAAAAGGGTAAAATGGTCACTTACTCGTATTCATAAAGTTCATTTAATCCAAAAAAAAAAAGAGAAACAATCTTTGTTTATCCATTGAACACTATCCATTTATCCATGCAAAACATAATTGAAAAATAAATGGACATACCCCAAATAATGTTCCCATTAAGTCAAAAAGAAACAACAGCTTACCATTTTATCTTCCTTGGGTAAATGACGATTTTACCCTTTCGTCTAGAAATCATACCGAATTAACTCTTGTCCTCATTACGACGTTGTGTATCTACCAAGTCAAAAAGAAACAGCAGCTTACCATGTTCATCTTCCGTGGGGTAAATGACGGTTTTACCCTTTTTGTGCAGCAACTAAGAGAAAAAAGACGAGAAACCCGAGCAGCCGATTTAGTAAAAAAAGATGATGACATCATCATAAAGCTTGAAAATGCAGCAATCGAGAGGTCAAAATCGGTTGACTCAGCTGTTCTTGGGAAGTACAGTATTTGGAGAAAAGAAAATGATAATGATAATACGGATACAACTGTGCGATTGGTTAGGGATCAAATTATTATGGCTAGGGTTTATAAAAGCATTGCAATGATGAAAAACAACACAAAATTGGCACGTGAATTACAAAATCAGATTAAAGAAAGTCATCGGGCTTTAGGGGATGCTGCTGCAGATGCTGATCTTAATCGAAGGTTAGTTAGTGGGTCCCGGTCAAAGTTTTGGGTTGACCCGTCTTTTGAATTTTGAATTTACCCGTCCGTTGCAAATCAAGAAAAAAACAAAAACCAAAACATGTGTTCGTTTTTTCTAGAAAATGTTTTCAGAAAATAGAGTTGAGTTTTTATTTTCAGTTTTTCGATGAAAATTCTTGAAAATCCGTTTGGTTGAAACTGGTGGAGTTTTCATTTTCCATTTTAGAAATTTGGAAAACTTTGGAAATTTGTAAAAATCACTTTTCTAATTTACATACAATTTGGAAAACAGAAAGTTTTTGTTTTCTTGGAAAAATTTTCAAAACTGAATCAACAAAACGCGTTTTCAAAATTTTCATTTTCAATTAAAAAGTTTCATGAATAACTGGAAAATTTTCTATTAGTTTCTTGTTTTTAAAGGAACTGAAATTTTAGGGACGGTTTGGTCTTTTTGTTTTTATACCTGAACCGAATCGTGTGATGTTTTTGGTTAACATATATAAGTGTGTTACTTGATTATTGGTAAAAATACAGAAAAACATAACATACTTTTGATCATTTTATTGATTTGGCCACCTAACTGTTACTTGTAATTTAGAAAATTGGAAAAGTCTCTTTTCTTGGAAAAATTTTAGAAAAAATATTTAAAAAAAATGCGTTTTCAGAATTTTCATTTCTCTTCAAAAAAAATTCTGGAAAACAAGGTATTTTTCCACACAGCCAAACGCACCCTAAAAATTTCAGAAAATTAACCATTTGATCTGTTATATCCGTTCAAAATGGTTAATTTGGAAAAAAAAAAAAGGTCTGAAGCTTTTATTGTTTAAATGGAAAAAATAAAGTAAAAGTGGTTATACTGCAAAATTGCCCGAAAAATGGTTTTCTGTAATTTTTCCTTTAGAAAAAAAAAACACTTTTTTCAGTTTTGGAAAAACAGAAAATCAGAATGTACTTTCACCATTTTGTCGTTTTAGCCACTGAACTATCAATTTTTATTATGATTCTTATAGTAATAGTTCAGAAATCAGTAAAAAAAAGTAATAATTCGGTGGCTAAATCATTAAAAGTAGGAAAGTGTGTTTGCACATTTCTGTATTTTTTTCTTTATATCAAAACTCGCAACCGAAAAAATACTTTTTATTAAATGGCCAACAAAAGTACAAGTGCTTTCCTGTATTTTTCCCTTTAAATAACTATTTAAGGTCATTCTGATTCAAATTGCACTCAAGTTAGTTGTGTTATTATATATAACTTTTCAAAATGTTTTTTTCTATGATATATATCATGAAATTCAATAAATATCTTCTTCATGCTTTCACGGATTTCAAATTCAACAACTCAATATATATATTGGATTGCTATTTATGTAACTGATTTTTTTTTTTTATATAAATATTTGTAGTGTACCAGAGAGAATAAAAATTATGGGGCAACTACTATCAAAAGCAAAAAATGAAGTTTATGATTGCAAATTAGTAACTGGGAAGCTAAGAGCAATGCTTCAATCAGCAGATGAACAAGTTCGTAGCTTGAAGAAACAAAGCACTTTTTTAAGCCAATTAGCAGCAAAAACAATCCCAAATGGAATTCATTGCTTATCGATGCGATTAACCATTGATTATTACCTTCTTCCACCTGAAAAAAGAAAGTTCCCAAGAAGTGAGAATCTTGAAAATCCAAATCTTTATCATTATGCTCTCTTTTCTGATAATGTTTTGGCTGCATCCGTTGTTGTCAACTCCACTATCATCAATGCCAAGGTATGTATACTCTTATTATATGTTTTTTTTTCTTCCCCAAAATAGCAACGTACTTGCATTTCTTAAACAATATATAATGTGAAACTTATGAGAGTTTAACAAGTTTTATATTCATATTGCTATTATTAGTGAGTGAGAAAATATAAGTATGTTGCTATTAGAGGTAAGATATTGGCATATTGCGAGTGTGTTGTTATTATGTTTAAAGAAATGTAAATACATTGTTGTTATGAGTAAAAAAATGTAATATATTGCCTATATTTAGAACTTAGAAGGAAGGGTTAGTCTCATAAAATAAAAGAACTTATATTTTGTGTTTTTTTTTTCTGATTAAACCTCAACTTTGTTTTTTTCCTGAAAAAAAACGTATTTTCATTTTCCGAAAAAACCCTCAACTTTGTCTTTTTTTCCAAAAAAAAACCCTCAACCTTCTAGCTGTTTCTGGAAAAACCCTCAACTATTTTAGTTTTTTCGAAATAAAAAAAAAACCCTCACATTTTAAAAGTTTTTTTTGGAAAAAAGGACTAAAAGGGCCAGATCGAAAAAATTGAAAAAATGCAAGGTTTTTTTTAGGGAAAAAAATAAAGTTGAGGTTTAATCGAGAAAAAAACCGAAAATACAAGGTCTTTTATGAGATTTACCCTATTTATAAAAAGAAAAAAAAAATTGTTGGTATTTCCTGCAAATTTGACATACCTAATAAAAAGGTCATCATGGCATGCTTGAATTGTCTTTTTTATTAAGTAGTTAACGTTTAATTCCTAACTTTTTACAATTTTTCCCTCGTATATCGGTATCGGTTATTCGCAACTATATCATAAACTAATGATATTATTTTTTTTTATAGGAACCCGAGAAACATGTATTCCATCTTGTCTCCGATAAACTAAATTTTGGAGCAATGAACATGTGGTTCCTATTAAACCCACCGGGTAAATCCACAATCCATGTAGAAAATGTGGACGAATTCAAATGGTTAAATTCGTCTTATTGCCCCGTTCTTCGCCAATTAGAATCCTCCGCAATGAAAGAATACTACTTCAAATCCGATCACCAAACCACACTTTCCGCAGGCTCATCAAATTTAAAATACCGAAACCCTAAATACCTGTCCATGTTGAATCATCTTCGGTTCTATCTCCCGCAAGTTTACCCTAAATTGAACAAAATCCTTTTTCTTGATGATGATATTGTGGTGCAAAAGGATTTGACGGGATTGTGGAGGGTGGATTTGAAAGGGAATGTGAATGGAGCGGTTGAGACGTGTGGGGAGAGTTTTCATCGGTTTGATAAGTATTTGAATTTTTCAAATCCAAATATCGCAAGGAATTTTGATCCGAATGCGTGTGGGTGGGCGTATGGGATGAATGTGTTTGATCTTGATGTGTGGAAGAAGAAGGATATAACGGGGATTTATCACAGGTGGCAAAATATGGTAAGCTTGTTTGTTTTTATTTGGTTAATATTAACAAAAACGGACCAATAGTGTACATTAAAACGTTTGGTGTCGGTGTCTCAACATGTGTAACATCATTTGTAGTGTAACCCTCTCTTATATCTATCTATATCTATCTATACTAAGATAAACAAAAAAAAAATTCAATTTTATATATTACAATAAACAAAAAATATGTGAAATAAATAAAAATTAAAAAGTAATTTGAATTTATATTAGTGAATTCCATTCTATTTCCTGCCAACCAGACCCGTGATAGATTATGATTCCTTCTAATTCCATTTCGTTTGAAAGATTCCATTTCTTCCAAAAATATTTTACAAACCAAATGTCTCCTTAGATTGCCCTAAACCATAAACTCTAAACTGAACGTTAAATCTAGTTGTCTCAATGTGTGTAAACTCAACCCTTAGCATAAATTAGAGTATTAAGTTGCCCTAAATGCTAAACGACCCCATAAAAACCCAAGTTTATAGGAAAATAAGTCTACTACTCAATTTCTCTAAACCCCTAAATCTTTTCCATTCACTTGTGTTTTTCGGTTACTTGTTCTAATGTTTTTTATTTTTGTTTCTTGGTATTAGAATGAAGATCGGGTCCTATGGAAGCTTGGAACATTGCCACCTGGATTAATGACATTTTATGGGCTAACCCAACCACTTGACAAATCATGGCATGTACTTGGGCTAGGCTACAATCCAAGCATAGACAAAAACGACATTGATAAAGCGGCTGTGATCCACTACAACGGGAACATGAAACCATGGCTGGAGTTGGCAATGACAAGGTACCGATCCTATTGGATCAAGTACATAAAGTTTGATCATCCCTACATTCGGGGTTGCAAGTTGGGTCAATGATGATGATGATGAGTTTGATTGCTATTGGTTTGATGTTTATTCTTGCAAATCATTTCATTATATTCTTTGTTATCAAAGTTGTTCATGTGATAACTCCCCCTTGTATTAGTGTATGCAAACTTTTCTTTTCTTTTTTTATGAATAGATGTAGTCAAGAAGATGATAGTTTCGAATTGTAAATGTGTTCTATGTGAATATGTTACCATTGTTTTTCAAAAATTTATGCATTTTTTTGTCGGTTTGTGGGTTTTTTAATCATAAAGAAAATGGCAAATCGGTAGGAAAGTAAGTATGGTATCTTAGTTTTTACTTGTAATAGCAGTGTGTTTACATTTCTTTAGTTGTAAAACAAATGTAGTTATATTTTACATTTCTTTAGTTGTAAAACAAATGTAGTTATATTTATTTTATCGATACGGCATGTAATCCATAATTACTATGTATTCATATTCCTTTACACGTAATAGCATATACTTATAGTTCTTTATTGATAATAGCATTATTTTGTACATTTTCTCTTTGTAGAATGATAAACATAAGTATTCATGTCTTTTATACATATATCTTTTATACAGATAAGAGATCAAGAGAAGTTCATATACCCTCTTTTGTAGACCTGGCAATTCTAGACACGAATACACGAATCTGTGAGAGAGACGACACGAATACATCTTGAAAATTGAGATAAAGCTTATTTCTCATCGTGTAATCGTATCGTGTCAAATTCATGGCTGACACGTTTTCATAACACGAATATACGATTTGTCAGGTCTACTCTTTTGGTAGGGATGAGCATAATTCGATTCAAGTAATCTTTTTTACTAAAATATCAGTTTTTTGACTTCGTAGAAAACAAATTGTTAGGTTTTTTCTTTCTCGTCTTTTTTAAAATTTAGGTTTCTTCCCCACTAACAGAAAAAACTAGTAATTTTCTAAAAAAATAATAATATAACACATAACATAAAGTGTAAAAACAATGCTCATTTATTTTTCCATGTGATTTTCAATTTAAACCACATATACGTGTTGATTATTTTTATTACGTCATTAATAAAATAAAAGTAGGTATTCCGGTTTTGTATTTTTCGGATTTTATACATGAAAAAAAAAACTAACAAACAAACAAACAAATCTAACCAATATATTCAACAAAATTTCAGATTTTATATCTTTTTAGGGGGACAAAAAATTTGCAATTATTGCCTCATTCAATGCAACACCAAACACAATAATAATTATACAATAATAAAATTAATTACGTAAATATTTAGACAAGAAAAAACACTTTTTTACAAAAGATGAAATCCATAGCTACACAAACCCTAACAAGTCTGTAAAATCACCATCTAGGGCAAGGAATTTACATGTTACTAGCAACTAAGTTTCACAAAAAAAAAGGGGAGAAGGAATTCAAGTGGGAATATAAGGCTCGAATAGCTTCACACAAGGATTTGGATCATATTGCATGATTTCAGCAGCACGTTCAAATTTCTCTCTCAAAACACGGATGCTTCGTTTATCCACGACCCGACCCAAATCATGTGTTACCTCAAACGGATCTTCTATGCATATCAAATGCCTGTCATTCCCAATCCTCCTTGTCCAGTCTTTTGCTCTTTTGCTGTTTTTTTTTTTTTCAATATCAGTCAATCTCTGCCAAACTCATTTGTGGCAGTATGAACTGATTGCACCCTTTGGTTTCTGTTTTTGTAGATTAAGTCACAAATGAGTTTGGCAGAGAAGGTTCTCCTAAATTATCTAGGGCAATTCTATTGTGTATATTGAAAAAACATACATCACCTCTACTACCTCACATTGATTCACCTCCATAAAAGGTCACTTTAATATTCATTTTAATAGCTTTACACCTGATAGGATCCGACTTGACACATGAAATTTACTTCTTTATAGTTACAACTTTGTTTATCATTCATAGGAACGTTATAACTGTGACTTTTGCTTCTCATAATTGAGTAAATTTTACTTCATTTTAAAAAGGAATTGATGTCAAATTACCCAAAATGCCCCAATCAAACATTTTTTTAATCTTACATGACCCATATCTATGTTGAACTTTGAGTTGTTTTGCACAGGTGACAAAGATTCCACCAAATGCCATTTCTTGAAAGATGCATTTGGGTTTCGGTTTGTTCCATCCATAGGTGGAAGCGGTGATGACAACTTTTTTTTTTTAATTATTCTAATTTATATTTCTTTTTTCGTGCACTTTCCAATTTTTTGTGGTTATAGATTATGCTAATTTACCGCACTTCACAAATTTTATTGTTGCGTTTTTCTGCAATTCAAAACAATAGTTTCTGTAATTTTTTGGTAGTTTTTTTATGTTGTTTCTGTTTTATTTTTTTGGATGCTGCACACATAAATACTAGCACATAGATGTTAATTATTAGATATTATTAGATATTATTATATATTGATGGATAATTGTTGATTGGGATGTATTTATCTTTTCCTATTGTTTAGGCCTAGTTCGTTGTTTTCTGATTTCAGTATTTAAACTTCTTGTTTCTCACCTTAGGTGATTATCAATCAATAACAGAATGTTTCTTTGATACCATCGGAATTTTAGATGGTATCAGAGCAGGTTTCAAAATCTCAATCTTGAAGAATGACAGGAAGCAGCGGACCAAAAGACAAGACGAGTTCAGGGGAGAATTCAGGAACGAGAATAGATCATAGTTCCCCTTTCTATCTTCATCCTCCTGATTTGCCTAAGCAACTACATGTGAATGAGGTGCTCACAGATAACAATTATGTCGATTGGTCACAAGAGATGGAGAACTTTCTCTTTGCCAAGAACAAATTCGAGTTTATCGATGGGACGATTAAGAAACCTGAAAAGGGATCTGCAGACTACATGCCCTGGATGCGCTGTGATGCGATGTTGAAGGGCTGGCTCGCTACAGCCATGGAGAAGAACATACGCAACAACGTAAAATATGCGAGTACTGCGTCCGAGATGTGGTCAGATTTACGTGAAAGATTCGGAAAAGAAAGCTCACCTAGGGCATACGAACTGAAGCAGAAAATAGCGGTTGTTCGACAGGATGGGTCCTATGTGTCTACCTACTTCACTAATCTCCGGTCACTTTGGGACGAAGCTACTTCTGTGCAGCCTTTTCCCAGATGCTCGTGTGAAGGATGTTCATGTGATATTGGGAAACAACTGAATGAGTTTCAAGAGAAAGAGCGATTATATCAGTTTCTTATGGGGTTGGACTCCGACTTCAATGTGATCAAAACCCAAATTTTAGCCACCAAACTCATTCCCAACTTAAGTGCAGCCTATCACTTGGTTGCAGAAGATGAAAGACAAAGGATGATTTCCACTGAAAAAAGAAATCAGCCCGAATCCGCTGCCTTCAAGGCATTTCAAAGAAGAGAGGGAAGCTTAAATAAAGAAAGGAACTATCAAAATAATGCCAAAGATAACAGAGAGACGAAGTAAAATGAAACTTGCACTTTCTGTGGGAGGAATGGTCACAAGAAGGAAGGGTGTTTTAAATTGGTTGGATACCCAGAATGGTGGCATGGGAGAAAAGAGAAAGGAAAACCCAAGACGGCTGCATGTGCGGAACCTTGTCCTAGCCCAATACCGGAACTCACCAACGAACAATATCAGATGTTCGTGAAACATTTTTCTGGTACAAGCAACGATGAGGTAAAAGGACGCGTTGCTAACATGGCAGGTAAAGAAACATATAAAGGTTACTGGATCATTGATTCAGGTTGTACCGAACACATAACTTGTTTGCCAGATTTATTGGAAAACAAGAAAAGAACCTTTTTTGAGTCTCCGGTAGTTATACCCAATGGGGAGTCTATTCCCGTTAACGGGAAGGGAGATTGTACTCTCCCAGGGGGAGCAAAAGTTAACGGTGTCTTGTGTGTCCCCAATGTCAAATGCAACCTACTTTCTGTCAGTCGCATTAGCAAAGATCTTCAATGTGCTGTAACATTCTTTCCTGATTTTTTTGTGATGCAGGGGTTACAAACGAGGAGCTTGATTGGTGCGGGGAGATGTGATGGTGGATTGTATCGAATGGGGATGATCAAAGAAAGGAAAGCCATGGTAATTGTTGCAGACACTTGGCATAAAAGACTGGGTCACACCTCCAATGAAAAGCTATCTAGAATTGAGTTAGTTAAAGATAATTCCGTTGTTCTTAGTAATGAAGTTTGTGATTCGTGTGCTAAAGCTAAACTTACTCGAACACCTTTTCCAATTAGTTTTATTAAAACAAAAGAAGTCTTTGATTTAATTCATTGTGACATATGGCGTGGATATCGCATACCATCCTACACGAAAGCTAATTACTTTCTTACTATAGTTGATGATTTTAGTAGGGTTGTGTGGGTCTTTGTTATCAAACATAAGAGTGATACTAGCAATTGTCTCATTGATTTTCATAAAATGATACAAGTCCAATTTGGGAAGAATATAAAAAGAATTAGGTGTGATAACGGTGGAGAGTTCACTTCTAATCTTATGTTGCAATTTTATAAAGAAAATGGGATTTTATTAGAAACAACATGTCCTCACACACCGCAGCAAAACGGTGTTGTTGAAAGAAAACATAGACACTTGCTTGAGACAGCTCGAGCCATATGATTTGAAGCCAATCTTCCCAAAAGATTTTGGGGAGAATATATTCTCACAGCTGCCTACATCATAAACCGCCTCCCTTCTAAAGTTATTAAGAACAAGACTCCTTATGAAGTCATTTGGAATCAAAAACCTCAATACGACCATATGAAAGTGTTTGGTTGTCTCGTGTATTATAAAAACCACAACACAAATGGAGACAAATTCGAGAAAAGAGGAAAACCCGGGATTTTCTTAGGATATCCTCAAGGAACTAAAGGATACAAAGTGTATGATATTGAAGATAAGAAAATGGTCGTTAGCAGGGACGTAATATTTTGTGAAAACATCCTTCCTCTCAAAAACAACAAGGCTGAACACTACAACACGGGTGACGAACCAACTAAATATTATGATGATGTTTGTCATGAGAGCCATCATCATGATCAGCTCCTTGAACAGCCTCCTACCACAGATCCGGCCCAGGACGATCAAGATAGTTCTGGTCCTGTTGACCTTCAAGACGAAAATCAACATGAGGAAGCCCAACTCGATAACAACGGCCCACAATCACAGGTTGAAATCGCTGATGAGACAGAGAATCATAACGGTTCAAGAAGTGTCAGAACCAAATCTCAGCCTCAACGACTCCAAGATTATTATGTAAAGCTGCCCCCTTCAATCAATCACCAGCAACTCAACTCCAATCAAGCTACCTCAACGGTACACCCAATTTCTAATTTTGTTTCTTATGATAGTTTTTCTAAGAATCATAAAGCTTATCTGACGGCCATTACTTTAAATAATGAGCCAAAAACTTTTAAACAAGCTTCACAGGATGAACGTTGGAGGCAAGCCATGCAGCAAGAAATCCGTGCACTCGAGAACAATAGGACGTGGACTCTTACTGACCTTCCTAAAGGAAAGCGAGCTATCGATTCAAAATGGGTGTACAAGATCAAGTACAAGCCAACCGGAGAGGCGGAACGGTTTAAAGCCCGACTCGTTGCAAAAGGTTTTACACAGATGGAAGGCGTTGATTATCATGACACTTTTGCTCCAGTTGCCAAATTAGTCACCATGCGTACTCTGTTAACGGTTGCTGCTAAGAAGAACTGGTTTATACAACAGCTTGATGTCAACAATGCTTTCTTGCATGGAGATCTAGATGAAGAGGTGTACATGAAGATTCCCCAAGGTTTTTCCAAAGCAAATGATTCTCGAGTCTACCGTCTACAAAAATCTCTTTATGGCTTAAAGCAAGCCTCTCGTAACTGGTACCACAAGCTGTCCAAGTTTCTCCTCAGCATAAAATTTCGCCAGTCCAAAGCCGATCATTTGCTTTTTTTGCAAAATCAAGATGGAATTTTCACAGCCATCCTGATTTATGTCGATGATGTGATTATAGTTGGTGATAACATCGATCAAATCCAAAAGATCAAAGGGCAACTTGACAAAGATTTTAGTATTAAAGATCTTGGGCAATTAAAATATTTCCTTGGTATTGAAGTTGCAAAAACTTCAGATGGCCTAGTTTTGAGCCAACGGAAATACATTCTCGACATCCTCAAGGACAGTGGTCTGTTGGGTTGCAAACCCAGTGCTTTTCCTATAGAACAAAACCTAAAGCTTGATCACCGAGAGGAAGAAGCTTCAGTCGACGCTAGCCAATATCGCAGACTCATTGGTCGTCTCCTATATCTCCAAGCCACCCGACCGGATGTTACATATGTCGTTAACTTATTGAGTCAGTTTGTATCCGATCCTCGCGAAAGTCACATGCATGGAGTTACACGGGTACTCCGATATTTGAAGGGAACCGCAGGCCATGGGATTCTTTTACCTCACGAAGGTGAACCTGTTTTGACAGTCTTCTGTGATTCTGATTGGCTTGGCTGTCCATACACAAGACGTTCACGTACAGGATACTTACTCTTACTTGGTGGTGCCCCCATTTCCTGGAAAACCAAAAATCAATCTGTGGTATCTCGTTCCTCAGCTGAAGCTGAGTATCGAGCAATGGCGTCGACGGTTAGTGAAATTCTATGGGTGAGGTGGCTTCTCAAGGATCTACAAGTCGTAGTTGATAAACCCACGAGTCTTTTCTGTGATAACCAGGCAGCTCGCCATATTGCAAGCAATCCAGTTTTCCACGAGCGTACAAAACATGTTGAAATGGATTGTTTTTTCGTTCGTGAACGAGTTACTTCTCGTGAGATTGCCTTGTTGAAGATCGATAGCAAACTGCAGGTGGCTGATTTGCTCACCAAAGCTCTTGGTGCCAATCAACTCTAGTTTCTACTTGGCAAGATGGGCATTGTCAACTTGCATGCTCCATCTTGAGGGGGAGTATTAGATATTATTATATATTAATAAATAATTGTTGATTGGGATGTATTTATCTTTTCCTATTGTTTAGGCCTAGTTTGTTGTTTCCTGATTTCAGTATTTAAACTTCTTGTTTCTCACCTTAGGTGATTATCAATCAATAACAGAATGTTTCTTTGATACCATCGGAAGTTTAGATTAATTCAATGTTTTTGGTTTGTATATGTGAAGAAAAAATAGATGTTTCCTGTGCATCTCAAATGAAAGAGTTGGCAAACAATTATTATTATTATTATTATTATTATTATTATTATTATTATTGTTGTTGTTGTTGTTGTTGTTGTTGTTGTTGTTATGTTTTCCTTAAACTTGAGTACAAAAGAAATAAAAATATAACGTAAGCAATTCTTTTGCTAAGTTGGTTGGTACTTTTACTTTCTTTTCAATAGTTTGATAGTTGCAAGAAAAAAGTGAGTTTAATAGGTAACTGTTAGCTTTTATTTTCCTTTTCCTGTTCTATCGATCTTAAAAAAAACATATGTTAGTAAGAACATAAGTTGCAGCCAAGATGTATATTAATAAAAAGTAAATATAACTGAATAAGCTGGTTGTATGTATTTTAATAATAATAAAATAAGGACAGATAAAATACCTATTAATAAAAACTAGGTGTGTAATTAAATCTCAGTGTCTGTTAGAAAATCTAACCATAAATTTGTGTGCAACGTATGAGGCTGCCCATTAGCAACCATTGGACATCAAGGTGGACTAAATGGCTCAATTTGAGGTTGATCAGAAGATTAAAATTGAATAGTATTTTGCAGCTTGGTGGTCTTGCAATGTGGTGATTAATATTTATAATAAGAAGGTCTTGAATGTTTTCCATTTCTATGCAACATCAACTCTTTCTTTTCATGTTGGATCCTTGATTAAGTTAGTTTCTTGGGCTACTAAGATGGTTTAAGCTCCCAACTAATACTAATGTTGAGTTTTGGAAAACTTTGTTTCCTGTATGTAATTATTGCTTTTATTATTCAGTTATTTAGATAAAAAAAAAACTAAGTTTTTGCATTTCATTGAGGATCATATAAACTAATGTTTGGATAATATGAAGTAATTAAAAAAATATGGTTCCTTTATGTATTTTCATCTAAGAACTTGGTAGATCATCATCAAAAGCTAATTTTCAATAAATGACATTGTACTTTCATTTTTATGTCTAATATAACATCATACTTTTATTTTTGTTTTTCCATTTATGCATTACTTTTGTACAGGACCATTTATGTTAATTTATTTAAATACGGACCATTCAATCATTCATGCAAACCATTTTTTAGAACTCGAAAGTAGATGCTATATTACAAAAAAAAAACAATTAATTTTTAGAAGATAGTTAGATAGTTAATTTCATAACTCAACGTAAGCTTCATTATGACATTATCACCACCAAAAGTTAATTTACAGAAAATAGCAATGTACTTTCATTTTTGTGTCTAATATTGCATCATACTTTTATTTTTATTTCCATTTATGCTTTACTTTAATTAAGACCTCTATGTGACTAATTATTTTCACATAGGGACCATTTATGTAAATATATTTAAATAAGGACCATTCACGCATGCAGGTTAGTACTCATTCTCTTTTTGACGTTAGAAATATGTATTTCATAGTAGATATTAGTGACAATAGTTGGATAAGTGACTGCTGTTTAGTGACATAGTAGATATTAGTGACATAGTAGATATTACAACTGTTAGTGATGATGGAAACAAATATATCAAGTACCTAGGACTTAGAAATGAATCAAAATAGATAGCACAATAGAAGCTCCAACTACCAAAGTAAGATGGTATTCTACACATGTGAATGGAAGTATGTTGCTATAAAATATCACCACAAGAATTTGCAAATTTATGATTAATGGCAATGTTTTTGTTTTTATCTAGATTATTTTAATTTAACCGTGTGGAACACAGGTTATAGCCTAGTTTTCTAGGAAAAAATAATAAACCACAACATAAAGTGTAAAAACAATGGTCATTTATTTTTTTATGTGATTTTCAATTTAAACCACATATACATGCTGATTATTTTTATTACGTCATATTAATCAAATAAAAGTAGGTTATTCCGGTTTTGTATTTTTAAGATATACATGAAAAAAACATAAAAACAAATCTAACCAAGATATTCAACAAAATTTTAGATTTTATATCTTTTTGGGGCGGACAAAAAATTTGCAATTATTGCCTCATTCAATGCAACACCAAACACAATAATAATTATACAATAATAAAATTAATTACGTAAATATTTAGACAAGAAAAAAAAACACTTTTTTACGAAAGATGAAATCCATAGCTACACAAACCCTAACAAGTCCATAAAATCACCATCTAGGGCAAGGAATTTACATGTTACTAGCAACTAAGTTTCACAAAAAAGGGGAGAAGGAATCAAGTGGGAATATAAGGCTCGAATAGCTTCACACAAGGATTTGGATCATATTGCATGATTTCAGCAGCACGTTCAAATTCCTCTCTCAAAACACGGATGCTTCGTTTGTCCACGACCCGACCCAAATCATGTGTTACCTCAAATGGATCTTCTATGCATATCAAATGCCTGTCATTCCCAATCCTCCTTGTCCAGTCTTTTGCTCTTTTGCTGTTTTTTTTTTCAATATCAATCAATCTTTCTAACGATAAAAAGGGCATTTACGTCTTTTTCCACTGACTAGAGAGTGTAAGAGTGAGTTCATGGGACACAAAATTGTCATTTTTTGTCTGCTTTGTCTTGTCCTGCACAAGGCCTTGGCTAGATGGGACTAGAAAAGTTTTCTTTCATGAAGAGGATGAAAAGGGCATTTACGTCTTTTTTCCATAGACTAGAGATTAAGAATCAAGTTCCTGTCTAATGCATGCCTTGCCCTGCATAAGGACTTGACAAGATGGGAGTAGAAAATGTTTCTAGGGTTAATTTCGATGATAGAGGATGAAAAGGGCATTTATGTCTTTTTGCTAGAGTTTTGAATATGACAAAAATGCAATTTTAGTCCCATTGACACAAGTCAAAAGCAGTACAACCTGTTGATTGATGAGAACTAGAGAAGTAATAAAGTTTTTCTTTTGATAGTACTGTTGGAAACTTTGTATATATAAAATAATAAAAATAAATGTGATATATGTTAATTAAAAATAGGATAAGAAGAAGAAATTACGAAACTGACCTTACTAGGCTTCCGGTCCGAATAGATATAACATCATTTGCATAATCATGAGAATGAGCCCAGTAATTGAAAAAAGCCCAAACCAATTGAGCAATACTTTCACCATTGCGGGACCCAAAACCTTCAAGTTTCTCCACTTTATCAAAATAACAACATTCCACATTGTCCACATTTATTTTATAAGTCGTCTCCATTTCCTGATTAAAATATATATATATATTAATAAAGCCAATTTTGGTCTTCTAAAGAAATAACATGTTCAGCGATCTTGCATTTAGCCCTAATTTATATCATCATAAGAAAGAAAAAAAAAAAAAAAAAAAAAAGACCTGTAGACATGGAAGGATGGAAGGCGTACGCATCTGTAAGAAATGAATGCACATCAAAACATACCTGAAAAGTAAGTAAAAAAAATTCAGATTATAAAAGAAAAGGACATGATATGTGTATAAATATGAGGAAAAATGAGGTTAACTCACGCATAGCTAGATAGGGTTCCTTGATAAGTTTGATTAACACCCCTAGACTTTGCCCAATGTTTGATAATGAAGGCCAATTGTCTCAATCTTACATCTATCTTTGAGTAATCACGTAGAAGCTTTGTATTTATAACAGCAAGCAAGTTGTTTACACAAATATCACAAGAGATTCCAGTAGTAGGATCCATAAGCTTCACTATGGGAACCCTGGCTCGAGTCAATGCCTGCAGAAATAGGGGTAAAATGGTCATTTGAGAATTGACAATTGATTTTGTTTTGCTTAATTTTAGGATTCATGTTTAAAGATAATACGATTGATTGAATTTGTTTTGAATCTATGGTTTCTTGAAGATGAACAAGAAGATAGGGACAAAACTGTCTTTTGAATGATTTCAACACCCGAGGGACTGAAAGTGTCGCAACAATACTTTTCAGGACGATGAATGCTAGAAAAGAAGAAAAACCGGACCAAATCCAGAAATAACACCAAACTACAGGGACAATTTCTGTAATTTACTCTCATAATTAATAGGGTAAAAGGGTAAAATGGTAAATTTACATGGTTTTAACAGCTGAAAATAGATAGCATGAGTCTCAGGACCAAAAAGGTGAAAAAATCACACCACAGAGATCAAAAAAGCAAAAAGATTCCTTTGTGGACAAATCCAACAGAAACCACTATATCACAGGGACGAAAAAGTAATTTTACTCTATAATATTTCACATGCAAATCAATCTTTTCTCTCCTTTGTTAATAGCACAAGACAACAAAACTTTCTAGGGCTATTTTCATTTTCAATGATGAGGATGAAGAGGGCATTTTTGTCTTTTGCGCAAACAAATCAACAGTGTTTCCCTGTCCAACCTTTTCATGCAGTCCAACATGTTCGATCCTGTCCACTGTAACAAACAAACAGAGCCTAAAAAGACCAATTTACCCTTGAAGAGAATTACCTGAACATTCTCAAGATTATCTGATTTCAAAATATCAGCAAGCTTCAACAAAATCTCTGCTTTGTCAATATCAGCATCCCCCATTGCAAGACAAACATCAATGTCACTTTTACGAAACCCAAATGAGTTGGCACATGATCCATAAAGAAACAACCGAGCTTCAGGCCATTCTTTTGTAACATGTTTATCCAATAATGCCATCAGTTGCTTCTGCTTTTCCTTCTCTTCTTCTGGTGGAATCAGTGACTCATAAATTGCAAGAAAAGACGCATTTAGCCTTTGTATATCTCCCCTACATTCTGTTCGACTTCTATAGTTCCTCATTCTTTGGTTCAGTATCCATTGTCCCCTTTTATCTGATCTGTAATCCTGAATTCATATCACAAGAGTTGCTAATAAAGCTAGAGATAAGAAGAGTGATTATAAACTTAATGGAAGCTATTTGCCCATCGTTAAATTTGATGAATATTGTGAAATTTAATTTTGGAATGTAAGGGTAAAACGGTCATTTAGTCTGATTCAGAATCAGACCGCTTATTCAGTCTAGAAAAGAAACAGACCTTATGTATACAACAGTTTATCCAGACAGACACCATTATTCATTCAGACACTTTATCCATATAGGACTTAATAGAAAAAGAAAAGAGCACCCTAAATCCATGGTAATTTTCTGATTAAATTCTTTAATATCAAGACTTTAACGGGCATTATGGGAAATATGCTAAATCTGTGTTATGATGTATAGATTATGGGATAAAACCATTAAGGTGAACTTTATGTGAAAATGGAGCAACCACTGGTTAATATAGGTTTATAAAAAGAAAATTTAGACCTATTGTGAGAACTTCTTTTCAACATAAATTGTGAAACTGTGAGACCTTTTTCAATCAAATCGTTTACAATAAGCTTAGTGAAAAGCCTTGCTATGGTGGATATGTGTAGAAGTTTTTGGATTGTTGAGTTTGCGATGATGTGGCACAAAAAAGCTTAGAAAAAACCTCTGCTATTGTAGATGCTCTTACAGTTGTAGCGACACGCCCAAGTTTTTATTCGCTTCAATTACCATTGCAGGTTCTGTTTTTGGTATTTTTTAAAGATCTAAAATCGGGTGTGGTAAATACGAATGAAATAAAAGAAACATCATTAAAGTATCAAGACTCATACCAAATTATCCAACAAATTACTTATCTGGCAGTGTACAATTACAAAGAAAGATCATGCAGCAGTAAACATTTACCTTATCTCGAGGTTTAGGACCCTTTGTTGCATCACTTTTCTCATCTGTTCCATCTTCAAGTAGTAAATTATCGAGATGTTCATCACACTCATCCAATTCCCTCGAGTCAATGTCATTGTTTCTGGATTTTTTTTCATCCATAGCATGTAATGCCATCAAGGACTCTTCAACATCAGTAGCAGGAACTGAATGAAGATGACTTCCTCTTGAAGGACCTGGGTCATCAAACTGTTGAATAAGCCCTCTTCTTTCCCCAGTGTGCAATCTTTCTCCTGAACTTATAACATCTCTGTGATTACCCTTTCCCCTATCCATACTCTGTTCCATATTCCTCTTGCCTACACTCCTTGGGTTGCTCGAAAACCCTGGTGGTGGTATACGCCTCACTTGCTGTTGAGAAGAAGCTCCCTTTGATCCATAATTACCGAACTCCAATGAACTGATTTGGAGATTTTGCATTAACTCAGCATTGCGATGGAGATCAACCTCTGAACCGTTCAGTCTGCTATTCCCCATACTCAGTTCTCTCTCCTTCATTAAATGTTTCTCAATATTAGCAAGATCGTAATCCAAATTACCATTTCTCGACACTTTAGAGCTTTGAATATCAGATTGCAAAGTACCAAAAATGAACTTGTTCTGTCGATCTTGCTGCTGCTGCTGGTTGTTGCCGTAAATAAGTCCAAGTTTTGACAGATCATCAAACACGCCCTGGTTGTTTACTTGGTGGTGATTTTGCATGAAATTCAAGTGCCAATTGGGGTTTGGATTGATAAGATTTGGATTCAGATTGGGATTAGGGTTAGGGTTTTGGGGGAATCCTAACCCTTGATTGAAGTAATTATGAGGCGGGAAAAGCGGAGAACGGGAGGGGGAGAGGTAATCGGTACCATGAGGTGGGAATGATTGTGGCGGGAAAGGTATCGACGGACCAACCGCGGCGACGGCCGGATCGTGAGGGAGTACTTGTGAAGGTTGTGGTGGTGGTGGTGGTTGGGAGTGCGAACGGGGATGCTGAGGTGGATTTTTTAGCAAGTGGAGAAGGAACTCGCCGCCGTTTATTGGAGGTGGTGGCGGAGCATCGCCTCCACCGCCGACCATTGTTTATGGTGAAAGCGTTGAAGAGAGATCAGATGAAGACAGTTGAAAAGTGTGTCACCGGCATTTTATATGCAGTACATCTAATTTATCTAAAGTTATGGGTTAAAGGATGTTCATATGTTTATCCAAAATAACTTGGATTATTGATAAAATTTGTTATAAAAGTTTATTATTTGTAAATAATTAATCACTGAATATTAAAACAGGTTAAATTATATTTTAAAACTAAATTATGACCCGCGTTAAACGCGGGGAAACGCATAAATAAAATATAAATGTATATAGATATTGCAAAATAATTAAAAAAAAAAAAAAAACAGGGCTATTGGTATTATTGAAATGTAAAGAAAATTCACTGATATCAATAAATATATATAGTCGTTGAAGGACCTCTTTGTAGACAATATTTTTTTATTAGTTGAACGACCTTTCTCATCACAAGGTAACTTCAAACCTTTTTTACTTGTGACACGGGAAACAACTACATATAATTGATCATGTGCGAAAACGGGTCTACGCAAGTATAATCCAACATTTGACAATGTACTTTCAAAATACATTGTTATTTTATGGTTATATTATGAAATATAATTGTTTATTTCAAAAAATAGCAACTTATTTATGTTCATTTGAAATGAACCACATAAACCCTCCACAATATTAAATATAAAGAAACTCTAACCAATAAATATAAAAACAATTATGTTTGCTCGATTTGGATATTGCCCGTGACTCATTGAAAATGTCAAAATACATAATTGGCACACAACTTACTTGTTATTATGATACGAAGAGGTTAGTTTTTGGAAGATGTTAGTTTTTGGTTATTTATTTGGGAAGCATAATATGTATTCTGCATTACAAGTGCTTACCTTTTGAATTTAGCATTTCTTACTTTAGAATTTTATTTTGGCTTGACATAGCCATGATCATCCCATATTTAATATTTTGCTCTTCTTGCACCTTTACTACTTGCTGACTTACATTCATTAAATCAAGATTTAACATTTTTTAAAAACAAATATAGACAAGAAACTTGTAAACTCAATGGATACGCTAAAAGAGACATGAGACTTGCCTTTTGTGAGATCAATAATACCAAATTGGACTACTTTCTACAAAATAATTTAAGAACCGAAGAAAACCTAATTGCCAAAATATCTAATATCATTATTTAAGTCATAACATGTTATATGCCGAAAAATGGAAAATTTCAACCAAAACTCGGTTACATGCCATCAAAGTTGAAAAAAAGATAATTTATAGTTAGATGACGGTATTAATTTAAAAAAATTGTTTTTCACTTTTTGTTGGATGTATTTTTTTGATGACATAAACAATTATCAGGCCAAACATAATCCGTAAAAACCATCCTAGCCAAATCATAGATCGCTTAATCAACAAAATAGAATACCACAGTCGTAGATGGTAATACGGTTAGAATATCTTTTTCTAAAAGATCAAGAAATTGACAATTTATTAGAATCTTATGACGTTGATAAAAGTCATAACAAAGTGCAATAGATTGAATCGATAGTTTACAATAAATATAAAAAATGAAGCCCTATCAGAGATAGAAAAACCTGAGGACAAGACAAAAAAAACATGTAACACTACAAAGTTGCAAACAACAAAAGCACATGATGCTAAAAATCTAGAAAAAAAATAAAACCAAAATTTATATCAGGTTGTGAGGTGAGTGTAGAGAACTTGTGTCAGATTCTTTGAGACATTTCGTCAAACACCTAAGTTGTCTGTTCCAATAACTCATCTTTTGAATGTAACATGATAAAACAAATCTAATCTTATAGGAAAGTGTAGGAAATGAACTAAATTAACATATATTTAGATTATGTAAATTATTTTGAACAATGTTCCTTCAAAAATATACTTATTATTGTTTCATACCTACATACAAAGTTTTATAAATAAATGTTAATTGTAATTATACAATTTGATTCTACCATATAAATACGACCACATAGAAAATTTAAGAATCAAATAAAAAATTTGTCTATAATACCGTAAATTTGATATTCAAGGAAATAAGATCATTCCTAATTTAGATTCTAACTTCTTAGCCTACTTTTGATATAGTTCATGTATTAATATTTAGAGAAACTAGTAGGCAAGGATGTTGATATTAAGTGTTGTATATTGTTGTTACCGGTAAAAAACTAAGGTTTATTTTAAACTTAAAAGTTTTTTTTTTCATGGTAAGTATATATGTTGCTATAATTTGTAAAAAAAAAACCACATAGTTATTGCAGTTTGTAGAGATTGTTGAGTATCGAGTCCAAGTTAATAGGTTACACATTTAATATGAAAAGTTATACATTGTTGTTTTGTCTGACTTAATCTAGACTAAATGATGTAATATGTTAAGCCAAAAAAACCTTATGTAATGTTTTATGAGATTTCAAAAATAGAAACATAATTTTGTTAGTCATAGAAAGCAATCTTTGAATGGTTGTATTTAATTTCAAAAATATATACAAATTAGAATAATTATAGTTTACCCCTTTCTAGATTAATTTTTTTATAAAATTCATCCCCTTAATAGTGAATAAAAGATAAACTAAAAGAGACATTTAAAACATGAAAAAATCACAACAGGTTATTGTTAAAAATTGTATAACAATGTATTTTAAAAGTACATTCCTAAAAATGGTATAATATGAAGTTATTATATTCGACAATAAGGTCAGAAATAGTAACCAAGTTGAGATAATCAAACAAACATAAATAGTAGCAACAACCGATTTGATCCATTTTTAAATTAAATTACCGATTACCCTTCTGATGAACATTGTCCATACTAAATTAATGATTTAGCATTCGGATAAAAAATGGAAGTATCATGCAAAAAGAATCATTTTAGTACATGTGTCATCTTAATATCTATTGTTGAATTGCTTTTCCAGCCTAATGTTTTTCTAGTTTCGTAAGTCGAATTACCCTTTTGCCCTTATATTTCCTTACTTAAAGGTTTCCTGCATTTAATTTGCAATTAAATTAAAAAAATCACATAAATTTAGGAGTTTATTGATGCCTTCAAAAGGTAAATTCGAATCTTCATTCTTTATTCTATCCAAAATAAAATTACCTTTCTGCCCCTAAACCTTTAAAATCATACTTAGCATTTAAAAAAAATCCATCCAACAATATCAATAACCTTTAGTTATGATTTCAATTTAAAGTTAGAAATGTTGTAATTCAACCATCATATTAGGATATTAATTTACATTCAAACACTAAAAACATATATCTATATTCCTATTATACCCTTATTCTCTATTTTCCATTCGGTATTACCATATATTTATCTTAACAGATTATTTGAGTTATATATCAAGATTGCAATCCCTGTAATTCAGCCAACAATTTAAGATATTATATACAATAAAAAACAGTAACCAGGTTGAGGTAATCAAACAAACAGAAATAGCAGCAGCTCATGATTTGATCAATGTTTAAATTAAATTACTGATTTACCATTCTGATGAACATTGTACATACTAAATTAATGATTTACCCTTCGGATAAAAAATGGAAGTATCATGCTAAATGAATACACAAAAAATTGATTACAATGAACAGGAAAACGGGTGGGGTGCATTTGTCATTCCATCAAAGTACTTTGCTATATTGTGTTTTAACTGGTTTCCATCAAAGTACATTATTATTTTTTCTGGACTAAAGGTATGTAATATATTTTCCTATTTATTTGAAAAGTTTCAGAAAAGTAGTTAACCGATATCAGGTAATTTGTGACAAAGAAAATCGAAATATATGAATACATATATTTGATACAGGAACAAAAAAATAATCGAAAAAAATATAAAAAAGCGAAAGAGGGTACTGACCTTCTAGTGCACAACAACGAAGGTTTGAAGCAAAGAATGATGATGAAAAATATAAGCAATAAGAATGATGTTGTAGGTGAAGGTTTGAAGAAAAGCAACGATTGAAAATAAGTGTGAGTCGCGGATTCAGAGATGAATCATATATGTATGTGATAATTTGAATCTGATTTTTTGGTATTAATGGTTTCCTAATAAAAATGGATTTTATATTAATGGTTTACTAATATAAACGGATTTATATTAATGGTTGATATTTAATGCCTTAATTGAAATCATTTTTAGTAATATGTTTTTAAAGTTGACCATTTTAAAACTTTGATAACCGAAAATTCAAGATTTAAAATTTGGGAATCTTTTATTAGAATTAAATACAATCCATTTCAATGGATTTAAGTTAATTTTGTGGAAAACTCTTATTGAAATTAAATACATTCCATTTTGGGAGAATGATGTCAGCAATCTAAGGGTGGAAAACATAGGATTGAAATACAATCAATGGCCCAGATTATTTAAGATGATGTCATAAGGATTTTATTTTAATATATACTAAAGATAACATAATTATTAGTGTGCTTATTTAATGACTTTTTTAAAAAAGAAAAAACTAAACGTGTTTGAATTTTGAAGCGAAAAGCTATAAATAAGGGAGTTAAATTATGAACAATATTAATTAGGGTTAATGATGGCATAGATTGTCAAAAGATGTCTTGAAGGAGATGCATGCTTCAGTTTGTAGAGATTTGTGTGAAGCCAACACAGATGTGTGATAATTAAAGATGCAAGGAAGAGGCAATACGCAAATTCTAAGAATACATGAGCAAAAAGGAACCACCTTATGGTGCTACATTCTGTTATGAACACACAAAGCATCAATTGAAGCACAACCATTGACATGAGGACGAAGAGTATTAGAGAATTATGGTTTAAGAGAGAAAAATAAAGGAGAAAGATGGGGCGGCTATTCATGTTTTTTGGCCAGATTTATGGAGAAACTGATATCTTATATATAAATAGAATGATATGCTTTAATCGATAACATAATTGTTGATTTTAAAGATTCTATAATTAAATGATTGTGCTCGAATTGTAAAATATATTTTAGAAAGTATTGATAGATTCTATAATTAAAGATTTTTATAATTAAATGTAATTGTGTTTGAAATGTAATTGCAAAATTTAAAGATTTTATAATTAAATGTTT